ATCAGTTGCAAACAGTCAGATGCATACACTTAACAATTAACAGTACTTGTATCTAGTCTAATCTTCAAATAAATTACCCAAAAAACTGGGCTGTATTCAGTTCTTCAACCAGTTTGGGGGCTGATTCCCATTGCTATCACTAGATCCCAGTCTATAATCCGTGGCCCAGTTTGATCTAGTTGGATGATGCATGGCCAAGATGTTAGAGTACCTCAGTGCGTCTTGATATGGAACAGAAAACTGACCAGTTGATATTCTTTAGGACAAACATCTGTGTAGGTTGTTGAGTGAAGTTAAGATCAATCACAGTCTTGCTGGATTTGGAACTGAATAGCCTGCCAGAACTCCTTTACTTGCATGTAAAGAGCACTTGGGAGACAAGCATAAGGGACCTGGCCATCTTTAAACATCAGCAAGGAGTCAGTGCCTTCAAAGAAGGGGAGGTATACTGGGAGAAATGCAAGAAGACAAATTGCATGATTGTCTGAAAATAGTAAGATGAAGAAGAGAATTGCAGCTGTTCAGAAGATAACAATGAAATTTCTGTTGCGAGTTTTAAACTGGCACATTTCCCCATGTGTCTGATTCAGTACCAGTGTGAATCTGCCTCAGAGTTGGATCTCATTATGTTCAATAACTCAACTTTTCATTCAGAACTCGGAAATTGGATTTACACTGAAAGATTGAGATCAAAATCTAAGTTGAATCTAACATCTGCCACCAAAAGCAGGCTGAAAACAAATTTTCCATTGTTGTCCATGAAGATCTTGAACTAAAGGAATGTTTGTATTCAGTAGGAAAAAGAAAAGAGAGAAGGAATTTGCAACTCCGAATGCTCAGTGTAAAAATTGACTGTGTGGTGTCTAAGTGGGCATACAGGCTGTAAAGGTACAAATTTCTGTTGTTGTTTTAGGCTCAAATATCTGATCTCAGCAAAGGTCAAAATAGCAGATCTGCAGTTGGACACTAAGGATGTATCCAAACCACTTTCAGCTGCTGATCAATGTTTGCTCTGAGCTGCATGGTCACACAACAACCCCACACAGTTTCACTGCAGACAGCACAGAGGAATTCGAAGGGTGCACACATTTAAACAAATCATGTGTACTACTAAAAAAAAATTAGTAGGTATGGTGCCCATGGTTGAATAACCTCACAGTCCAGACTTAGTCAGCCAAAGGACCATCTGAGCAAAGTGTGAATGCACTCATGACATCTGTAGAACCACACATCAACATTGTCTTTAGCAAAGAAAGGGAAGAATAAAACCAATATGAAGCAAGGAACAGAAACAGAAGTTGTTGGAAAAGCTCAACAGGTCTGGCAGCATCTGTGAAGAAAAAATCAGAATTAACGTTTCGTGTCCGGCGACCCTTCCTCAGAACTCAAGAAGCAAGATTTTTCATGAACTATAAAATTCTTGTGTATATATATTAGCAATTTATTTTATTAAAATTAACAATAAGCTTTTTAAAAGTCCCTTCTGGAACGTGTCTTAGGAATTCCAGTGCAACCTTTGGGTGAAGAATTTAGTAATCACAGAAATGGAACCTTTGGAAAAGATGGAATACTTAAAACCAATGGAATAGCATTAGAGCACAAAGTGCTCATGATTTATTCTGAAAGGAAGTATCCATTTCAGAAAGCAGAGATCAAATAGATTCACTGTTGAAGGCCCCAGGTAACTTTCACTTCACTGTTTTGTCTATTCTGCGGAGAGAACTAAACTTAAGCATACTGGTCTTTTCCTAAGTTTTCACGACTCACCTTTTAATTGAATCTCGCACGAAGTCAGACTAAGGCAGTATTTATTAAAAGGTCATGAACTTGTTGAGACTTATGCATGTTTGTTGCTCACTGAATCTGTTGAGTTAGCTGCACCTTATCAGTCCTTAATTGAGCCACTAGTTAAGACAATGTGTTTATTAAGCAACTAGCAGATTGCCAGTCAATTTTAGATTCGTAACCACGTCCTGATCTATGTAAATCAATTATGAAGAAGTTAAATCAGGCACTATGCGCTCCTGAAGTCTAGACCTTGCATTACTAGGCAGGATAATGGTGAGTCCGTCACTACAGTATAGCACTTGACATTTTCCCACCCTCCTTTAAAAACCATTTAAATGCAAAAGGATTCAAAGAAGTAAAGACAAGATGATTCATGGCACTTCAGATTTTAATGCTCCAGCAACTACATGCATTTTTCCAGGGAAGAGAAAACATGATACAGCTCTTTAAAATCATGAAAGCTAGAGACAAGATTGAAGCAAGCAAATTATTTAACCTCAACTCTGAACACAGGGCTGGAGAAAATACATACAAATGTTAGTGCCCCAAGCAATGTAAGAATGTATTTCTTCCTAGAGGATAGTGGGCAGCGGAACAGAATTTGCAGACAAAGTAGTTAATCCTGGGTAAACTGACATCTTTAAGTTGGGAGTTGGAACAGTACATGTTGAGAAGGGGGCCAAAATATTCAGCAAATTGCCTGATCTTGTCTCAAAGGAGGAAGGTCGAGCAACCATCAATGTTCTTTAACATTGGAGATCAACCTGCTTTTAAAGGTCAAATAAATCAGTCACACATTCCAAATGGGATGTGCTTTATAGGCTGGATAACATTTTCCTCTTTCTGGATTTCCTCATGTTCTTATTGTTATCGCCACTGGGTTTTGTTTTAATTTGGCCTCGGTGTGTAGATGATGTTGGCAAGTGCACATCTATTGCCCATCTTTACAGCAGTTAAATAGATTTTGGGCAAAGCCAAAGGAAACAATCATCAGCAATTTGGCATGGGGACAGAGTCACGGATTAACCAGACCAAGCAGAGGTGACAGATATCTTTATCTGAAAGGCGATAAGTGAACAGTGTTGGATTGTTTGTAGCGAAGTAGCAGCTTTCATGGTTATTTATTTTGTTAGTTTCTCACAAATGACCGGATGAATTATTGGTGTAATATTAAGAAGGAACTATGGTCCAGAGTCTCTACTTCATCATGCTTTTCTATCTCTAGCCAAGGGGAAGATGCACAGGAGTAATCTGCCGGAAGCAATGTATTAAAGTAAGGATTATTTGGAAGTCAATCTTTATTGCAAGTTCTAATAACGGAAAATAATTCATTATCGGGCTTGATGTATAACTGAAAGAAATAACATTCCAGTATTTATGAACCAATTGTAAGTTTATAGTAAATCTTAAGCACTAACCTTGCATGTTTTATTCCATGAGGAATGGAAGAGTGAAAATCAGAGGAAATTTGTGCTCCCAGTCAAAGTGCTTAATCGTGATATAAAATGATTTAATCTTTTCATTCTCACATTTCCTCTGATAGATTGCAGGAAGTCATTAATGTGCTCTTTAAATCAGTGTTGAGAATGCAGCATTTTTAAGTTGACTGAACTGTTTACCGTAACTGAACTTGAACTTGCCTTGCTGCTGCTTCCTCTGTTTCAATTAAGCTGTTGGCTCATCTACACTCAGCTGGCTCCTGTTGGAGGGAAACATGGCAAATTGTTCGCTCGTTTGTATAACAAGTGATAAGATGTTGCATTTTGATCCTGGTGTATGTGCCTGATTAGAGAGAAAATTAAATTAGTCAATCTTGTTGCGTGCATGTAACGTTTACTACGAAAACACTACACCCACCTTTGTGGCATAAATCATGTAGCAATGTATCGTTTAATTTCCCTACTTCTTAGCTGAAGTAGAACTTTAGTAGAACTTTCAGCTTCCCCAGTAGCCCAGTTGGTTAAAATACTCCATGGAATAGAATTAAAGTAGTACAGAACAGATCAAGCACTACATTAGTTTTGATTTCACAGGAAAAATCTGTCGTGTAACTGCCTATATTCATTGTTGTTGCTCTGTGGGAGTCCAGGCCAATTTTATGACTGACAGCAATTTCTCTGCACAGTTAAATGTGGAAACCCAGAGACTGCTATCAATAATTCAGCACTTCCCCACAGGGTGTGCTGTTGAAGTCACCCTAGATTGCAATCAAATAGGAATTACTGAACTGACAAAAACTAGAGCACAATCGAAATACTGCAGATGCTGGAAATCCAAAATAAAAGCAGGTTCTGAAGTGAGGTCCTTGCTGTGCGATCATACTGGGATAAGTATTAAACTGTCATCCTGCAATCCTTTACGAGAAACATTAACTCTATGTCTCTCCCCACAGATGTTGCTGGAGTAGCACCAGCATTTTCTGTTTTTGGTGAAAACTAGCACTCCTAGACTCAGGCTCACTGTAAACACCCATGAAAAGTACCTTTTTGAATGAGGTGAACTGGATTTTCAATAGCAAACTAAGTTGTTCTTTTTACTGTTAAACGTTCACATTTTCAAAATAAGTATCTTTAAAATGTGTCTTTGTGATATGTTGACTTCGAGCTTAATCCCTTGCAATGGCTCAATATATCTCAATCGCTGCGAAAACAAAGAATAGACGTCAAAATTTCAGCGTTTTTCACTTCCTTGTTTCTTGTCTGTGAGAGTACCTCCATATGATTGGCTGTTTACCCTGCTTAATGACATCACCATTGCTGGAAAACAAGAGATCTCCTTGCCTCAGTGACAAACTGAGAGTTGGCAAAGTGGAAAATTCATGAAGATTCTTAGATCTTTGTGGGCACCCTTCCTCAAGGTCAGCAGTGGGCATCTTCAATTCACTGGTTGATGCAAAGCCTGTGCCATAAATTGATCCCTGTTCTTTACTCGGAAAAGTATTTGCAATCTTCACTCATATGTGCCTTGTATATGATAATGATAAGGGATCACTAAAAAAAATTCATAAATTTGCTTTAGATTTGCAGTTTTGAAATGATGTTTCAAGTGTAATTTAAAACAAGATAAAATTGTAACTCAAAGTATTCTTCATGACCGCATAGCAAAGCATAACTTATATTGTTTATTCTTAGAATAATCCAGCTCCTATGTTTGTTGCTTCCTTTATTTAAAAAAACTCTTCCAATTCTGATAGAAAAGCCTTTGTTTTACAGATTGCTTAAACTGCAGTAAAATTTCCCAGCTGACTGACCGTTTGGGGACACTGGAGGCCAAGGTACACTTGAGCAGATTCTAATTGATCTGTGCAGTTTTTATTAAATTCCTGGATGTGTTCATTTATAGTCCGCGATTATTTGGCCCAACTAGTCTGCTTGTGTTAATACTCCATTTCATCTACCTCATCTCAGCTTTTTGAAATATCATTCTACTCACTTATCTTTCATGTATGCCTCCGAGTTGCATTTGTAAGCATCAAAGCAGTTTGTTTCAACTACATTCTTAGCTAGCAAGCCCAATACTCTAACCACTTTCTGAATAAACGAAATTCTCATTTCCCTTTTAGGGTGGCTCAGTGGCTAGCACTGCTACCTCAGAGCACCAGGGACCCGAGTTTGATTCCAGCCTCGAGTGATTGTCTGTGTGGAGTTGGCACATTCTCCCAGCATCTGCATAGGTTTCCTCCTGGTGCTCTGGTTTCCTCCCACAGTACATAGATGTGCAGGCTGGGTGGATTGGCCATGCTAAATTGCCCGTAGTGTTCAGGGATGTGTAGATTAGGCGCATTAGCCATGGGAAATGCAGGGTTACAGGGATAGGGTAAGGGGATGGGTCTGGGTGGGATGCTCTTGAGAGGGTCAGTGTGGACTTGTTGGGCTGAATGGCCTGTTTCTGTAGGGATCCTAACATGAGTTCATTAGAACTGTGATAACAAGGTGTAGAGCTGGATGAACACAGCAAGCCAAACAGCATCAGAGGAGCAGGAAAGCTGACGTTTCGGGTCTAGACCCTTCTTCAGAAATGGGGCCATGTGTTCCTGATAGCTGTAATCTCTCAGTTCAAGTTTTTATAAACCTTTGTTGTTCTATACTTTTTTTAAACACAGTATGGAGATGATAACTCTGCACAGTGCACTATATCAAAATGGAAACTCTGTACAGTTCTCTTAAAGCAAGACAGGAATGCTGTGCAATGTTCTGTACTGAGACGAGAATGCTGTGCAGTGCTGTTGGTATCGTGCTATATAGTGTCCCTTCTAAATGTTTCTGCTCACAGAGGCCAGCAGGGATCATTGAACTCTTTGTCCTTGCACCACAGGTGGCTTTACTGGCAGCTGCAGAGCCAGTCAGCTCTCTAGTGACAAACCACGGACACCTGATGCTTAAAGGAGCACCTGAAGATACGATTAAAATCCGAGGTGCTCCAGCTGTGCGAGGCTTGCCTGGAGCCCGGGGCCCAAAAGGTCAGTTATTCAAAAACATAGTCATATTTTCTTTTATAAGTGACAATAATATAGATCTTGCGAGCTTGATCTCCCACATTCTTCATTCAGATGAACTGTTTTCAAGATAGTAATTTATTGAACAAACCTCTCTAATCCTACTCTGCACTGAATCAGTGAGAGAACAATTTGGAGATAACCTTTAGATGCTAATATCACTTCCTGTTTTAGCTGACAGCAGGTTATACAAGAATGAAACATTTCAGCTGCATACACAACGAGCAACTTATTATAAAAATGTCCAATTTATGGACAATCTTTCAGGAACTCCCATTCCAAGCTCTTTTGTTTGCACAGTTTGAAAATTAGAGTGCCAGACTTTTGCCAGATTTTTGCCATGTTGGGTGTATTGCTTCAGAAAGAATGTCCAATTCATGGAGAAGGGTGCAGAGGAGATTCACCAAGGTATAAGTAAGGAAATGAATGCTGTTCCCACGAGGAGAGACAAAAGAAATATCAGAACAGAGAAAGGTCAAAGAGTAGTTGAAGGAAGGCATTCAGTATCGTGCACTGAAAGTTTTCATGACTAAATTGGAAAAAACATATTTTTTGTTTGGTGAGTGATTTGGTAACCAGGCTCAAAACCAGCTATTGTCACAAAAAGAACAGAGGGAAAGAAATGATCATGTGATTAATTTAATGGAGACTCTGAGGACATGGGCTACCCTTCCAGCTAACCTATGGAAGTGGAAACTATCATAGGTCTTTAAAGTCTTGTGTATAGAAAATTCCAGAAGGAAAACTTTGGAAGAATGCATGAAAAGAGAAGGGAAAGCATTGTCTCAGCAGACTGTTCTGTAACGCTGCCTTTGGTTATAGTGCTTACAGAACTAGGTCAATCCAAAATGGTTTCTGTTAATTTACTTTTTGATCATTTGTGTCAATTTATGAGAAACCTGAGTGATTGTGTTATTTTTCACCATTTTTTGTATCCTAAACAAGGTGCAATCATGTATTTTAAAATGCTGGAATAACTGTACATGTGTGTAACTTGCACTGTGATGATTTGTGGCATTTCTGTGATCTGTGTGCCCATTTCAAACAGAGTCATTCCAAGCATATTTGGGGAAAAAAACAATGAATTATGTAACTTGCTTGTAATGTAATGCAGTAATACAAGCATTATATGCTTTTGGTTGCACCAGCGATGATGTGAATATCGACTCATATTGATAATTTGCAGTCAATATTAAGAGAAATAAAGACTTAATCTTCAGATTTAACCTTGTGAAGTAAAGAAGGACAGCTGAATATGCATTTTTAGTTATGTCAAGGAGCCTTTTCTTTTGATTAAGTTGTTTAGGCTTGTCTGCAGCTTGTAATATTGTTGGTGATCCCTAATCCGTGCAACTACATTTTAAAAAAAATTCAGATCTTGTCATCTTCAGCTTCTGCTGTGAAAATTGAAGTTACAACAATTTATAACATGGAAAAAATGTTCATTGGTATGAAGAAAACTCATTAGCATTGCAGACCAGGTCTTGTCATTAAAAACATAGAAAAAACCCAACTAGATGTTTCATTTAGACATCCAATGGATCAAGTATTTTCCTTATTGGAGCAAATGGCACAGGATTCTATAGAGAAAAAAGCAATGTGTTTTTTGCCATGTTTTATCAGGTCAAGCAGGACCCAACTGAATGAATGGGAAACATTACGATTTTTAATTTAAAGTTTACGTAGCAGCTAAATAGCAGGACTTCCAAAATATTGTTAGCAGACCAAGCAGCACCTGTGCATAGAGAGTTAATAGTTTAAGTCGAATATGACTCCATTGACTCAGCCTCTGACGAAGACAGCCCGGATGCTTTGGACAAAGCACTGGCAACGCTGTGTCCTGCATCCTCCACCAGCTCAGGCGCTGTCACCTCCCTGGGTATTTTATCTAGATCAGAGTCAGTAGCTCCTGCCAGCGAGCATTTCACTGCCATTTGTCCACACCTGGCCAAGGAAGAAAACTCCCAGGTCACTGGCACTCGGAGGACTGTTGGAGACCAGGCACCTGCTCAGCCCCAAGTAGGAGAGGAGCCTGTATCAAACAGAGAGGCAGCAAGCAGCAAAGGACCCAGCTGTCTCAGGCATGTGAGTTTCTGGCTGCATCCATGGACAGGTTGGTGGCTTTCCTACTAAGGAAGGGCCAACAGTTTCAGTCTCCATCACTCTAGCCATTGTGCTCTATCCTCACAGGAAGACAGAGTAAGTGTGACTAGGAGGCGTTTGGAGGAAGAGGAGCCACGTACAGACCTCCCCAGAAAGTCTCCTCTCAGGACAGTCCAAAGTGGCTGACCATCTGCCTTCACCCTACCTGCCAGCCTCAGCCCTGGGCAGGACACACTCAGCACATCTGGGCCCTCTACCAACAAACTTGACCAAAACCCTCAAGGTCAGTGGCCCTCACTGTGGAGCAGGCTCCCACCATCCCAGCTGCGTGACCTGGGAATGCTTTCAGACGTTGTGGAAGGGAAAGGAAGAGAAAGAAGAGGATACGTAGGAGGCATGAGTGAGAAATCACTGGGAATAAGCTTCCAATTTTGTAAATATATGTTTACTTTTCACCATCTGCTGTGCAAGTGAGTATCTGCCTGGGTTGCCGGTTAACCTCCAGAAAACCTACCTGTCACCTGGACGTGACTTCCAGGACTTTGGCCTTGTCTCCCTGGTCTCTGGGAGACTGCAGGCCACCTGGGAAATACTGCCCACTACAGTGTTCGCCCACATCAGAGCTGAAAATCCTGCCTGAGTTTACAGCTTTCCTATTTTTCTTTCCTGTAGACTCCCGTAAGGGTTTCTTCAAACTTTGAGCCTCAAAACTAAAAACCACTTAAGTTCTTTGACCATCTGTCGATGCAGACTGTCAACAACAGCAACTTGTCTTTTACCACATCTCCTTTCCAAGATTTGCTTTGCCTCCTTTTGCTGCCTGCTGTTCTTGGGAACGATGTTTCCTGGATAGAAGGAGGATGTTTGCTATTACTAGTCGTGGACTATTGACTTTCATAACCATAGGGAAAATTTTCAACACTTCATTTATGGAAATCCTATAGAATGGCAGCAGCATATGTTGCAAAATTAAATCTTCCTTGTGTTACAGTACAACCACAGATCATTTAGTGCAAAGAGGTATAGCCTTAGATTTACAAAAGCACTTTGGGGGGACACGGTAGCTCAGTGGTGTCTCACAGGGACCTGGGCTCGATTCTAACCCCGAGCGACAGTCTGTGTGGAGTTTGCACATTCTCCCCATGTCTGCGTGGGTTTCCTCTGGTTTCCTGCCACAGTCCAAAGATGTGCAGGTTAGGTGGATTGGCCATGCTAAATTGCCCATAGCGTCCAGGGATGTGCAGGCTAGGTGGATTAGCCATGGGAAAAGCAGGGTTACTGGGGTAGGGGAGTGGGTCTGGGTGGGATGCTCTTCGGAGGGTCAGTGTGGACATGATGGGCCAATTGTCCTACTTCCACAGTGTAGGGATTCTGATTCTAAATAAAGATTTACTTTCTGAAATTAATAAGCAATAAATTAATGTCAGTTTACAGATTTTGAGAGCTCATTAAACGTTATACTGCCTTTGAGAAGGTCCTGCAGATTAGCACATTGCCACTTAATACCCTTGCCGCTTCTTTCCATATAACTCTGGCTGCTAAATCAATTGGTCTCTTGATGCCCACTACCACTCAGTTAATCCACATCTAATTTCCACTGGAATAATATTACATCACTTGCCAGGAACATTCCAGCTCTCTTGTTTCTTTTTTGGTTTACAGTTGCAAATTACTGTCTGCTGATGTGCTTTAAGAGTAGCCTAGTTTTAAATCCAGTATGTCTGCCACTGCACTAACTTACCCTATAATCCCTCTGATAAATTTCCTCGTTCCTACGCCCCCACCACTCCAAGTAAGTAGGTAGTGTAATTGGGTATACAGAAGAGGTTTAATTGTAGTGTATAAAATTGAGGAACCTAGGTAGGTCCTGCCCATCTACTGTACGTGTGGAGTTTGCACATTCTCGCCATATCTGCATGAGTTTCCTCTGGGTGCTCCGGTTTCCTCCCACAGTCTGAAGATGGGCAGGTTAGACAGATTGTCCATGTTAAATTGCTGATAGTGTCCAGCGATATGTAGGTTAGGTGGATTAGCCATGGGGAATGCAGGAGACAGGGTTTCGGGCATAGATCTGGGTAGAAATGCTTTTCGGAGGGTCAGTGCAGACCCAATAGGCCGAATGGCCTGCTTCTGCACTGGAGGGATTCTATTTCCATTAGCAGAGAGTCTAACAAGCAGGAGGCATAGATTTACAGTAACTTGTGGAAGGAACAGAGGGAACCTTTTCACTAGGCAAGATCTGGAACTCACTGCCTGAAAGGGTGTTTGAGGCACCCACCCTCATCACTTAACTAAACTCTTGCTGATATTCTCGAGGTGCCATAACTCACAGGACCACAGACCGAGTTGGAAGGTGGGTGTAGACAAGGTAACTGTTTTTCAGTTGTCACAGTCACGAGAGGCCAAATCACGTCTTCCTGTGTCATAATCTTTCCACAATCCTATGCAGCTTTGGGTCACCCTGTAACATTTCAGTTTTCCAGTCCTGGGATTCTGAGGGAGGTGAGAGACCCAGCTGATTGGGCTGGCAGAAATTTCACTCTTGACATTTATTCATGACAGCAGATCGTGTGATTCAGAAATTTGGAGCTTCTATATGTCCTTCTCTTGGCACTAACCATAACTTACTTAAAAGTTTGTTTGTTATCAGGTCAATTCACAAGTGAAATTAGAATCTTATTCGGTGGGTTTTTAAAAGTATCTTCTTCTAAAAAAGAATAGTGCAGCTATAGTTATCTGATAAGTTCCCATGGGGATGTCGTTCTTTCTCTTTGCAGAATAGACTAGTTTCTCTTGAAGTTCAGAATTCCCTATCATTCTCCAACATTGCGAGTATCTCAGAGCTATATATTTGTTTGTTT